AATTAATTTTTCTCACTTTTCTCTGGCAAACTTACAACATTAAAATACAGAAATAAACAGATTTTAATCTGAAATATGCCTGCATCTGACAGTAGGCACAGAGCCTTGTCTCACACCATCTTGGCTGAAATGGGAGATTTATCTTTTAATGAGTCTTAACATACTTCAGTCCAGTGTATGCTGCCAAGTCCATAATCTCGGTAGATTTCAACATAGCAAGTGCTGGGAAATTGTTTTCAGGCCTTTGTTTCTTCACAGAATTTATCTGAGCATCTCCTCTACAAGAATAAAAGTCTATTTGAGTACCTGAAACCTATACGCAAAATTGCTAATTGAAATCATTTCAGTGGTTCAAAATCTACCTCCAGGTCGTAGCATTTCAGCCAAAGAAAGATAACAGATAATTATCCCGCATAAAAACCAATGATGTCTTTCTATCCCAAGGAACTAATGCCTGACGGAAGCAGTAATAGCTCTTGTGCTTCAGTCATAAACCCAAAACATTGGGTGGTTTTTTTTTTCCTCCGATTGCTGTATTGATTTTTATTTGGTTTGCTTGCTTTAACAGTGATCGATACGATGACATTGAAGGCAGTGGTCATGTCGGCTTTTTGAGAGACCCCTAATGCTGCCAGATACGTAGTACTAAAATTACTTTAATCCAACTTTACACTATATTCAGGATGTAACTGTAAGAGCAGAAAGCCCCAGTAGTTGTTAGCAGTCCAGATGCAGCCTCAAGACAACGGCTAGAAAGGATTACAAACAGTAAGGAGAAGGGGATAAGTGACGAATTTAGATTGTTACCTCATAAATAGTAGCACTCTCCCCCAAGCCAAAGAAAAGGTGCCATTTTGAAACCAAGTAAATTGGCTCCAAATAGCTATTTTCAGGGCTTCACCATGACTACCAGAATAAGTTACATACAACCTCCTGTTTTTCATTGTGATTTAGGAAGACTAGGATAAGCACACACTTTCTGTTTCAGCACATTTATTCAAGTAGCACTTCTGTTTACATTAGTTTTAAGAACTTGAGTTACATCCTTTAGAGACTAAATGAGATATTTACATATTTATTGTGCCATCATACGGTATACAACAGCTGGTTTTATTTTATTTTTGTTAAACCAGCAGCAACTTAATAGGCTTCAGGTTTAATTAAAAGGTTCTTAGTTTTGGATATTTTATCTGATAAACAGACAAGAAAACAGTAAGAACAGAACAAACGCAACACTTTATTGTGAAGCTAAAGCTATGTGACTGCTCACCATGCTTTTTTACATTGCTTATTAATAAAATGGTGTTTAACATTTCAGAAAACAAAAGAACAATGAAACAAAAGTGCTTCAAAACAACAAAATACAAGAATTAACCCCAGCCCAGACTGGAGTTTTCTTCTTTATTTATTAGGGGTGGGGTACAGCGTTTTGTCTCTACCTTTGGTTTTCATCACTTTAATCCAGATTTCTGAAAATACTGACTAGCCCTTCAGATGAAAGAAAATTTGAATCACGTGGCAAAACCAGTTTCTGTGTTTCCAGTCCCTTTGACAAGTGTGCGAGTATTAGATGAAGTACTTCTTCCCCACTTCGAATGGTAAAACCCACAGAACTGAGAGGCTACACCCCTAACATCGTAGTAGAATACGCCTATATTAACCAACTAGAAAGGACATTGACCTTTTACTTCAAAGCTGCTTCTCTGAAACGGGATTTTAAGAAGGGCGCCTTATGAAGGTACGGAAGGTCTTACAGCAAACCAAGGTTGATCACCATAGTTTCCAGACACCATGTCAAAAATCTGCAAACCAAAAGATCAAACTCTGAAGAACCCACAGTGTTTAGCCAATGTATTTAATCCCCTGGAGGAGTGTATACCTTGCCAATTATTGCTTAACTCAGGAGGTAGTTATTGACAAAGTAAACAGTTTCCAGTCTAAGACAGTTAACAAGTTACATGAGAAGCAGGAAAAACACAATAGACATTTCCCCATACTTCAGAAGATGATTTTGTATTTGCAGGAAGCAACAGCTTAACTTCCTCATCCTGTGGAATTATAGTTAAGAGTATTTAAAAGAAAGAATATTGAAAGAAAAAATTCTAAAAGAAAATAATTGATCCATTGGTCATCTCTTTGGATGAATAGCAGATCATCCTACGCATGAAAATTCATGTAGGTGAGTAAAACTACATCCTTCAACAGCAGCTCAAGAGAACCAAACAGATCAGCAACTGCCTCTAATTAGCACAATGACTGAGATAACTAGTTGCATTCAGTACCTGCTTGCTACTGTTCTTCCATTTCTGATACCTGGTAGAAGTCCCCAACACTAAAAACAGGACGGAAACTTGAGACCGCCAGACAATGAATGAAGATTTGTAACCTGCCATAGCACTTGCCACCTCCCAAAGCTGCCACATGCAGAAACATCACTGAAGCACGGGAGTAGCTAGGTAAGCACGTCACAGGCACAACTATGCATTATCCATGACTTGGGTAGGAAAGCACTATAAGAACCTAGGGCACAGTTTGACCAGAGGTGGTTAAGGAAGCCCTAAGTAGAACACCGCTTTCCACACCAGCTGCAGAACAGACATCTCAGTTGAATTTGCCAGCGTATCCGACTTCAGTCTTCCCAGTGCAAAGTAATTAAATGTCACAAGATGGACTTGGCAGCAGTGCTAACAAACACTTGTTTAGAATAGAAAAATTACTATTTATTCTACACCAGAAGGTAAGGTTAATTGTCAGAGGAAGTTCTATGTATAAAAACTGTCATTTTTAAAAACATTTGAGAGAATCTTAGCAGTGAAATCAGCAATGGCCTCTAATTAGTGCAGTGACAACAAATTCCTTCTCAGGTCAGAGATCCTATTCTTACCCACTTTAAAGTGTTACTATCATATTTATTATCTACATGAAGTTGCAGGGCCATAGTCAACAAAACTATTAGCAACTGACTTTCTGAAGTAGAGTCAGTAAGACGTCTCAGGGCAGAATGCCTACTTCTAATACACTGAACTCTGCAGAGTCTAAGAAACTAACAGGACAGAGAGACTTACATATGCATAAATATCCTAGTTTAAGGATTATCTTTATTATTCAGTGTTGTTTTTGTCTTAGCCACAAGGAGAGAACCTGTACAGGTTTAGTGTACTCTACAGAAAAGTTGTTAGTAGAGGGAACATCATAACACATGACAGATTTTCATTTTAAGGAGGAAGAGCATGACACAATGCTTGAGTTTTTCATCTCAAAAAAGTGGGTGAAGTCACTCATTAGCAGTGGGCAGATTGGGGGGGGAAAGGGGGAAGATAAAGGCAGTTTAGAGAGCCAATGTAATGCCAGTCTTCGCAAAGGTTAAAAGCATCCAAGCTGCTGTCCTGCTTATCATATCCTAATTCAAGATATTGTATTAAAACATAATCTGATTTTATGTTAAATACAGTTGCAAAGTTCTATATAGAAATATTGTAGATTTGGGAAATACAGCTATTTTGTTGTTTGGGGTTTTTTGGGGGGGAGGTGGTGGTTTTTGGTGTTTGGTTTACTTCCCCAGATCTACTTTTTTACGCAGTTAATCCAACACATAGATCAAAATCACTGAGTTGGGACTTACGCAGTACATATAAAACAAGAAACCAGAAGATGCGAGATAATGCTTTAAGGGGAACAGAATTATTCTTAAAAGACACTATTCAGAAAATGATGTAAGAAAGACATTTAAAGGAGATTTATAAACCAAATAGCACTTGGTTATGGTCTAAAAATCCAGCAGCTGTAGGGCAAACTGATGTTGCCGAACAAAATTAAGTTCTTATTATTGTGTTCCAGCACTAATTTGTAGAGCTGTACTTCATCCATTGCGCAGAAAACAATCACAGCAGAATAGATAACCAAAAAGCAGTGGTACCAGTCACACAGATTCTGTTGACCTGAACTGGTTGTACAAACAAGTGAGAAGGGCTGGTCCCTTTTCTTTCTGAAGTAGCAGCTCAGATTTCTGACCGTTTGTACTGCACACTGGTGGTGTTTCAGCAGATGGGAACTTCTACCTCTACATTTCAGGTGCCTATAACACACTGTCATGGTTTTGGTTTCGTTTTACCGCAAACCAGGACACATGCTAATAGGTGCATATTTGAAAGAAATACCAATACATTCTCAAAATTAGGTGGAGGAAAACAGTTCGATAACAAATATTTAGGAACGCTCAAAGCCAGAAGTGTTACCCTCAAGGTTTTCATTTGCAAAGGATCTCAAGGAAAGTTTACAAGCTTTATGAATAGGAAGACCAAGGACCTTTCTTAGCTGTTTAGCTATCTGGCAGGTGCTAATAAAACAGTAATATTCATGCCTAGCACTATGAAGTCTCTGATAAATGTGGATCAAGTCAGCCAGGAATCTCCAACAACAGAGATGGTATCCTGAAGGCAGAACGAAGGCAAAGCAAGCAATACATGAGGTTTAAGAAACTGAAATCTTTTAGCATTTCTCTGTTCTCCAGGAAAGTGAATCAGGGGAAATGAAGTCACGTTTCATTTACATCAGACATACATTTGAGAGAGTCATACCCTTACAAGGCTAAAAGTGGTTTGGTTAGACTATTTCAAAAGGCATACTAGTGTAACACAATCTTCTCTTATTTAATTGCTTTTAATCTTAAGATCAGGTAAAAGCATCTCTGGTTCAAAAAAACAGAATCCCAAACATATTGCATCTGTGTGTCTCAAAAGTTTGACACAGTTTCTGATATTTAGTACCCAATACTATGCAGCAAGCAGAGAGTCCTCTCTGGCTATTACTATACTTACACTGCATCTATCAGCTAGGGGTTGTTTTTTTTCATATATATATATATATATATATATATACACACACACACACACACATATATAATATATTATTTATAACCAGCTTTCAGGTGAGTAGTCCCAGAAATACCTGGCTTACTCCTACCAATAAAAAATAAGGTAAGTGAAAAATTAAGAACAAAATTTTCTGTTAAGACCAAAAGCAAACAAAGCTTATAACTCAATTTAGTTTAAACTGTAAACAATGTGCATTTTTGTATTATCACCAAGTTCAGGGAGTTGTCTTTTTTTTTTTAAAAAAAACCAAAACCAAACAAACCACAAAAAAACCAAACCACCAAACCCAAACAAAACCAAAAAACCTCACAAACCTGTCTAGCAAGGAACTAGTGTTCCGCCTTGCAAACATCTGCGTTTAATCCATGTACAATTTGTAAACGAGATGTCAGGCCTTTAGAAGTAAAGGCAAAGATGTTTTTCTTTATTATAGTATTTAAAGGCTATCACTTAAGTGTTTTTTTAATAGCTTGTCATTTATGTAATAAAAACAAGTATTTGTACAAAGATGCAGTTTCTTTTTAAAAAAGCAGATCAGTTGAGTGTTTCATACTTTTAATATATAAACCAAAACATATGAAAGCTATAAAAACATTAATGTGTGCCATGTATTAAACATGTAGCCTCATATTTTAATGTTTACATGTGTAGATTAAAAAAAATTATCACAATGGAAATTTTACTTTCAATTATCATAAATAGACCAAAATACAGAGTAGAAACACGTCATTTCTGAAACTTGACAATTAGCATCACTTACTCTCCAAACATAAGCTGGGCTTCAAGTTGTACACCATAAGCGTAAGCTAACATTCTACCAATGCGTTACAAAATGCATTAAGAGAAAATACTGCCAGTAAATGAATGTCTTAGTCTATTTTTTTATTTAGTATTTTTTTTTAAAAAGACAGCTTGAATTGGTTTTATAAGGTTGCGGTTTTTTGCTGTTCTGCTATCAAAGGTCATCTTTAAAACTGTTCTGTGAACAATACAGTCACATTACAACTAAACAAAAAGACAAATAATAACAGACCAGCTGCTTTTTACATTTTAATAATCACAGTTCCCCGTTGCTGTTCTTCCTCTCTGCATAGGGAAGTAGTTTTATTTGGCACATTAAGGATAAAAAAAAAAGTCAAAAACTGAACCAAAGTTTACAAACCTCCAATTGTAAGTTAGTAGTTAACATGAAGAAAGCCAGACATCAATGTCATGGCAAAATTAAAAACAAAAAAACACACACACAACATAGGGAAAAGGTTTTCCAATGATCAATATCATCAGGGCCTTCTAGCTGAAATGAAATACATATTGTTCAAACCATAATCGGATTGCTAGAAATCTTATCTCAAGTCCTGTTGTGCTCCTACTTACAGTGTGTAAATCCTCAGTAAATGGCAAGGAGGCTTCGATGAACACATTTCACATTGTATAATTTTTTCTTAATCTCAAGTTTTAATGCAGATACTTAATGATCTGTAAAGTCCTGTAAACTCTGGCTGCTTTCCAGTAGTCTGTACCAACTTCTCCTTAAGCAACACTTTGTTTCACTTCAAGTAGTGTTTCACACCGTGGTATCTCCAAAGTCCTTGTTCCAGCGAATATATGCTTCCAGGGTCTGAGGGCTCAAACTACGCTTTATCTTCTTCAAAGATTCAGTGAAATCTGACAGTCTGATATTTCTCATCTAAACAAAAAGTGAAAGACATCAGGATCACAAGTGGTTTATGTACTTCAGTTTATTCAAGTACTTCAGCGTTCACTTTCAACAAAGCATATTCTATGGGTGCTTCATCTTGGTATAAGGAAGAATTTTTTTACAGGGAAAACAGTCAATCACTGGAACGACCTCCCCAGAGACATGGTAGAGTCCCCATCACTGGAGGTTTTCAAGATTCAACAGGACAGATGAGATTATCTAGGTTCCCTTTCCCACAAAAGGTTGGACCAGATGATCTTTCCAGGTCCCTTCGAACCTGGGCTGCTCTATGACTCTATGAGCTGATGCTAGAGTCTTGTAATTTAAGACTATCAGTATTTACCATTTTTAATAAACTAACATTTGGTAATCATAATGTCTGCATTGTTATTTAATAGCCCATGAGATTGTGTTATTACTTCCTATTTCACTAGGTGGTGCAAGCTGGTGTATATAAGGGCACAGAACTCAGTAAAGAGTAAGACGGGATTTTTTAACACATTTCTGGCATGCCATACTGCTGCATACCAGGACAGTAAGGCCCTGGAAGTTCCCACCCTTACCACAACTGTATTCAGACCATAGTATGGTGTCAGCCAAGTAATCCCGATACTCTAACCTCTCCGATTCAACACGCCCTTCAGTTGTCTGCTGAGGACATGATTATAAGCAGGTATTTCCCGTACAGAGAAATGCCCAGACATGAAGGGAGATAGCCAAAGTGTGTAGAACAAGGCAGCCTCGCTATTAAAGCAGTATTAACATTACAGTTGGAGAAGATTCCCCATGTTTCTTTGAGACTAGTGTTTATAGGCTACTGGAGGTAAACTTGCATTCACAATAAGTTATCACAGATGTTCTCATCTTCCTGCAGCAAATCCTTTCAGCTTATCACAGCCTTAGCCATGATCTAAGGCTAAAGACAGAATTAATAAACACAGGGGAATTAAGTTTTGCTTCATTTTCCCCTTCATAACTGTGGTTTGTGAACACATTTGAACAGAAACTTTCATACATGGGACCAACCTCTTCCTTTTCTTTTGATATTTAAAGATGCAATTCGTGGTGAGGAACTTAATCTTTTTTTTTTTTTCTTTATGATGGTGCACGAGATTGAATGCATGTGCACAAACAAATCTGTCTTAAAACCTCTCAGAGGTTCTCCCTAAGATGACTTGGTTTACGTAAAGACTGGGGGGGTGTGTGTGGGTGTGTGTGTGTGTGTGTAAATAAAATCAGTCATTTGACATAATACTTCTGGGAATGTTTTGGGGGAATAACACTGCAAGAAAATAAAAGCCAGGCCTCTGATGTCATCTGATAGGTAACAGATCAAGCTTCAGTTCAGTGTGAAGGATAAGACAGGACAGTCAGCTGAAATTAAGAACAGCAGAGACAATTGGAAAAGAGGCTCTTAATTCTGATAACCAACGACATACACAAAGAACCTCAGACATCTGAGGACAGATTTTCTTCTCAATCCCTATTTGTAAAGAATTTTCATCAACAAAGAAGTAATCAAAAAGGGTAAGAACCCCAAAAAATTATGCTAGGTATTTTGTATGGTGCTATGTGCAAATAAAAGGCACCTTAGAAGTTTCTGGTGAGCATGCATTCTATTCAAAAGTGAAAATACAACGACTAGGACATCATACCTCACTTGCAGACATGTTCTTCACCTGTTCTGGTTTTAATTCTGTAAAAATAAAGGAAGATCAGTGAGTTTCATAAGAAGACTTTCATCATTTCTGACAACTAAAGCATGTTAAAAGCACTTTTATTCTGAAAAAAGGTGCCACAGCTAAAAATTATACCTCTCTGTATCAACATAATCTCCTGTACAGACGTGGTGTTTTTACCTCCTTCTTACCCACTTATCAGCTCCTCAACCAGGCTGCTCCCACACTCAATCACTGCAGATACAGCACAAAGTGGTTGCAGAACTACTTCCTTCTTCCTAAAGTACGAGGAACAGCGCACAAGCGTAGCAGAGGTGCCTTCCCCTGTATTAGTCCTGATACCTACACCCCCCCCACCCCTCAAACACGCACAATTTTCAGGAAACAGAAAGAAACCGTCAGCCAAGAATACAGAAATAAAATCAGGTAGGGCAGGCAGGAGCGCTTCTTGCTCTGTGCAGTACTGGTGGGATATAATCATTCCTGTTTCCTTCACCATTTTACTTTTTTTTTTTTTTAAACTTGCAACACTGCTATGGTATCAGCATATTACAGCAAACTTTTTGCTCTGAGGGTGCAAGAAAAAGAATCCAGGCAGAATTGGTAAGGCTTCCATATAAAAAAAATTAATTTTTTAAAATGTTTTTTATATGGAAGCCACAAGCAGGTGGAAGACATCGGTTGCACAACGTTTCACGGTCTCTTCTCAAAATGGACTTGCATGTGAAGTGATTTATCAGCAAATTAAAGCCTGTATAGCTAAATGTATACATTATTAATTCAACCACTCTAAATAAACATATTCAAAGTCTTAGGAGACATGATGTCTCATGTGAGACCTATTTAATGCAATTCTGTTTCCCAGTTATTATGCAGGATTTTGGAAAATATGCCTTACAATTTCAACAGCTAAAAGTAGGTAAAAAACCCATTACTTTCCAGCAGCTGCTTTCAAAGAGATAGTGCACTGGCAAAACTGCATGCTATAGGATTTTTGACTCAATTAAAATAAATAATAAAACAAACACACCCACAAAACATGTACAGACCTCTCCTCCCCATAAATCATTTAAGGGAGTTGCAACAACTGTTATTTACACACAATAGGCTGATATTACAGAACACTTCTGCTCTGGCTGCCTTTAGCACCTTTCTGTCAGGTAGGACAATATATCTGCAAACAGAAAACTAACATCAAATCTCCACAATCTTTTCTTCACAAAATCCTGCTACTGATCTCCACTACACAAAACCAGCCCTTTCAGATGTGGCTACTGGACACATAAGAACTAGCTAGTGAAACAGAACAAACAGGGGGATTGTTAGGGTTGGAGGGGTTTTTTTGGAAAAAAAGTATTCACTTCGCATTAAAATCCTACTTTTTCAAAGCTGAAAATGTCAGAGGAAGAATAAATACAGGTAAAACTCTGCTTGAGTCACAACTGTCATCTGGATCACAATTCAACATTAAGAAGATTTAAAAATAAAAAAGCTATGCCATTCAAACTGTATCTAAAAAAAAAAAAAAACCCAAACCACAAAATTGCTTCTGTTTCAGTATTTCCTTCCTTTAGACCTGAAAGAGATCTTCCCACTTTACACGACAAGTAATGCAGTCAGAGACTGCTATTCAAACAATAATTTAGATACAACAGAACTGATACCAGCCTAGGAAAGATAAACTTGTTAAAAACCCCACAAATCTGTGAAGAACACCTCACCCTGCTTTCCTCTTAAGACATAAAAATAATCTTGTTTCACATGGTGAGCTACTGAAGGGTTTTGTGTAAGGTAAGTCTTACAAAGATCGTATTATGAGGAACAGACCAAAATTAAATCTAAAAAGCTTAATTTCAGAGGTTTAAGAGTTATAAAGATGTAGAAAAAATATAATATCTCTAATATCAAGGGCACTGAGTTTCTTCAAAACCTAAATAAAAAGCTATGCAACTTACCTCGAATAGGGCCCAGTGCTGCATCCTTTGCTAATGCTGTTAAATCACTTCCAGAGTATCCATCTGTCATTCTTTGTTCAAGAATAGAGTGGGGGAAAGGAGAAAGAAAAAAAAAATAAAACAAAGAAAACCTGCTTCAAACCATCTCATTTTAATTGCAGGTTATTAAAACGTTACTTATTCAGAAGTACTACTTTGATGTTGTTTTGCAAGTTTAATAAATCAGAAGTGTATTCAACATAAGTGATCTATATTTACGTCTTTTCCAAATTAAAGTACAAATACTCAAATCCCAAATAACATACCAGGAAAAGCAAAAAGACAGCAGCCAACTATGAGCTGTAGATGAAAACTAATCTCAAGCACGTTTACTATTTCTATTACGGGAATGCCCTACCACTAGTTTGTCATCATTTGTCACAGATGAATATAAAACCAAAGACTCAACAGTCCTATACTCTGTCAAGCCGATCGAGACCATGAGAGCCCAACACAACACACATTTCTTATGATGTTAGTTATTACTGCAGCCTAAACATGGCCTGAGCTAGCACCCTTCAAGTACAGAGAAAATTTATTCAGTTGGATTTTATATCAAATTTCTGTAATGTTACTAACACTGGCTGACAAAGACTACATCCAAGACTGTACTCACCTCCTGCGTACTACCACAAACAGAAACAGACTGAAGGACAACCACTTGCATATTTTTGATATCTCACAGTTCATTTTCATTCTTTCCTGCCCTAGGTGATCTACCTGCTTTTTAGACTAACTTCCTTCACACCCATTACATTTAATTTCCGAGGGTGACAAACAGCAGTACTGTGAAAAACATAAAATAACGTAGTTTCATAACAGGAAGGGCATTTAACCCGCATTTTCCCAATCCAATATGAAACTGAAAAAAATCTAAAATTATCCAGCGCTTGTTCTGCTGTGTTGGTAATACCTTCAACAAACCTAGCAATGGACAAGCAAACAAAAGTCGCTTTTCATTTTAAATGCATGCCAAGTGCAAAACTGGTACTGCCTTTTTGCATCAGAGAGGAGAGCTGGACTGCCTGGGGGACAGGTGGAGAGAAGCATCCTCCTCCCTCCCCTTCAGAACGAAAAGCACTGATGAGCATGTTTCAACAACAAACACCCAGCCAGGTGGTGCGAGGACAAAACAAGCACACACATATACACACACACACAAACACATATATATATGCATATATAAAAACACTTTCATACAGCCTGACAGGAGACCATCTTCCCAAAATGCACTAAATTCATTCTCAGCAAGTGTTGTCAGTATCTGATGATTTACATTAGTTACACTTTGAATGAATAAAACTGAATGAATGAGGTAGATGAGTATATTTATTTAGTATAGTTACAGAACGCTTACCTAGCTAGTTGTGCCAACTCTTTTTGGGTCAATGGACTTCCTTGTTTGCTTAGAAGATTTTTTAGCAAAATCAATCTTGTCTGAAAAGAAGATACGTTTATCAAATGTAAAACTCATTTTCACGGTACATTTGAAATTCTGTTGCAACAACAAAACGACAGATTTGTCAGGTTAGCTTTTGTGCTTCACTAGTTTAAACTTCTCTATAGTGCTTCTGTGATTAGACCATACACTATCACCTCTCCAGGGGAAGACATAGGGATTTGGTAATAATAAGATCAAGGGTCAAACTACTTCAAGGATAATACATCAGAATCCTCATCAAAAGCCCTAATCTAGTGTTGAGCTGAAAAACATTAAAGCAAGCAACTTTCATCTTTTGCAATAAACACTCTTCCCCAGCCAGCCAGACGTGCTCCTGCAAGCCCTACTTCAGACTTGTCCATCCCTTCTAGTAAGTAAGCAACACCTCACTAGCAAAGAAGTACTGAATAGCTACTACCAGATTTGCTACTAGCACGTGTGAAAAAAAAAAAAACAAAACCAAAAACCAACAAAGTGTTAAGGCATTAAGGTAGTAGACAGAGCTAAAGCAGTGTGTATGGCCAAGATGGGCAAGAATTTAATTCACAGAATTATAATCATCCACTAGGGCAAGTCAAGCATAGCCTGTGATATATATTTTATTTTTGTTTTTAATAAAATTGATCCTAGAATGAAGAAAATACATGGAAAACAATACTTACTTCCTCATTTGGTAAAGACACATATACCCGTTTGGTGAATCGTCTAGAACAAAAAAAAAACCAAACATATACACACACACTTTAACTTTTTAGCACATACAGATCTAACATTTGGTTTGATAAATGTCAAAATTTCACTTATGTCATAAAATTTGAGGGAGTAGAACTACAGATTTAAAAACAAACAACAACCAAACAAACAACATGCATGAGCCACTGGTGTCACCTTACTCTTATTTGGAGTTATGACACTCCTCCCAGAGAGGGAACACTTTAAAGGTAGAAATACCACTGACTGCCAGCAACAAAATGAAGCATCTCTTCACTGTACTCAATAAGTCTTTGGAATCATTAAAAATGTGTTTTATTTGTTCAGACAGTGCTGACATGCCTATTTTCCTCAATCAAGAATGAAAAGAGAAGCAAGTATGAGAACTTGTAGCCAAAAAGTCCTCAGGCAAATCTACAGCAAGATCTGTAATTGCATGGGACATCAGAAGTCCAATATTCACAGACAAGAAATACTGGATTTCACTGGTCAAATTTCTTCCTTCATCCTGCCATTAAGATCCAAATGATAAAAAAACCCCAATATATAAAATGCAAGGAGGTTATACAATGCTGTCTTGGTCTCACAGGTACTGCTGTTTTAAGACAATTCCAAGGCCACCGTGCTTATGCAGATGTATCCCAAAAGATAAAGAAGAGATGCACCTCTTGGAGAAGTTAAATAATTTAACCTTGCCAAACAGCTTTTGCTACTTATTCCAAAACAACTAAGACACTAAGTAGCAAAACCTGCTTTTCATAATGAACATCATATTATCGTATTCAAATAAAGGAAGAGACATTTCGATACCTAAGAACAGCATCATCAAGCTCCTGTGGCCTGTTTGTTGCTCCCATCACAAGTATTCTGTCCTCTCCAGAAGACTGCACCTATATAACGTAGGAAGGCAAGATAGCTTTCAGTTTACATCAAGTAGTAATACAACAAAACCAGTTAGAGACTTGCCATATATTCAGCACGCTGATAGGATCGTACTGTATATGTGGGGAGTTTTCCACATAGCTTTAAAACATTCCTTAGATAAATGTAAAAGTCAAACTAGGAAAAAGTAAAAAGAAAAAAAAAAAGTAATCTAAACACAGGACACTATGCCCAAGTTACGTTACTTGAAAAGTCTTGGAAAAGAGCAAACATTGCTGTGGAATTGCATGTTACAATGTTGGATAAAACTGAGACTACAAAAAGCATTCGGAAGTTTAGTCACCCAGAGATAATTATGTTTAAAAAGCTAGAGACTTTTGGCTGTTGTGGGTTTTAACACCAAATATTGTTTTGAAGCCTACAGAGAGAATCAAAAGTTTGGACTAAGGTACAGCCAGAACCACTAAATCAGATCAGAGATTCATCTAATAGGGATCTCGCAAGAAGCTAGTAATCAAAATGAGAAGCTATTCAATAGTACGTAGACACGGTAATTTTCCCCCAAATTCACTCAACTGCAAGACTTGATTTTATACCCGGGAGTATGGAAACCTACAGCTTCCAGACTTCAGAGAAAACATCTGGACATCAGAGACGTGTTCTTATTCACCTAGTGTCCCATTCTTCATAGACTTAAGTTCCTTGCTGCCTGAATCCAAAAAGTTCCAGAAGAACATTGTATGCTATAGTTGCACCTTGATCCAAAGTTTGCTAACTTACTAATTCTGTTTAATTTTCCCTTTTTCATTTTAAGAGAAAACTCTGTATGTGTGCATAATAATTTCTGTGTATCATTGTCACATTGCATTATTTGCCCTGATTCATCCTGCTTTGGAGAAGTTTTTCCTGATCTCCTTGTCTCTCTATATAGTTATCTTCTCGTCCTGTACCTCGTTACTATTGCTTCACCACTGTTGCGATATTCTGCTGTGCTAGTGGAATATAAACTAAGATTGTTCAATAGAAAAAACGGTGGTTTATGACAGAAAAATATTCTAACACTCATTTGGTGCGTGTGTCTGCTGTCCCCCCAAACTATGAAACCCAGTTCTTTTTCCTGGGTATTACATACATGCTGTTAAATATATTCTTACTGTACCCTTTCATCTCTAGGTCACAATGCCAAGAAAAAAAAAAATATAGCTCAATAAAAAGCATACTAACATAGAAATTAATCCTTCTGATGCTTCAGAGCTGTGTATATCCATGATCTGAACTAGTCTGTTTGAAATCCTCATCCCTCAAGTCTCACCTTACCTTGACAGTGCATGTTTTTGTGACACACATCCCTTAAAAACCAAAAAGGCAGTATTTAAATGCCATTGAATCTTCTTTTACTTTGCCAGAATGAAGAGATGTGCTTCACCAAAACATGCAATTGCAACCAATGATTCAACACTGCCCAACCCTCAAAGGTCTCTCTTGCCCTGTAAGAAAATTTGTTCTCACAGCTCCTTTATTATTGCCATTTGTTATCCTTTCTTCTCTGGCCGTAGTCTTTTAACCCATTATTTCAGCTCATCCCCAGATTACTACCTTTCATTCCAGACTGAATTTTCCAGAATACTACAGTAAGCAGATGAAAAATTAACAGCAATGGAAAAAAGCTGTTTGCCGACCAAGGTGCCGGGGGGAGGGACAGAGCTAAGGCCCAGCAGCCAAATCCTATTTGTGCTTCATCTGTAGCTTGTACTGGCACCCACTACATTAGCCAATGCAGCTAAACAATAAACCCAAGACTAAGTACTTACACCATCAAATTCTATTAAAAATTCTGTTTTTAGACGCCTACTAGCATCATGTTCACCTTCTCGTCTTTCACACAATAGGCTATCAACTTCATCTGAAAAACAAAGAAATGTATCTTAATTAAACATAGAACACTAAAGTCTTCATATTTGCCTAAGTTCTTTTGCTAATACAGGGCTCCAGTAAAAGATCAGATCATTACTCCTTAGGAGACAGACAGATCTTAGTGAAGTTTAAAAGCTTGTATAATGTGTTGTCCTGTGAATATGTAACACCAAGCACAGATGAGAGAAAAAAAAGATCCTGCTGATAATAAACTGCAAATCAGGACAAGCAGAACCCATTTTCACGGTTGAAGTTTAATACTTAAATGGACTTACTCTGTAAAGGTAGTACAGCATTTGTGGTTTTGAGGGCATTTCTTCCCACTATTAACAGCAATTAAATAACACAACAGTAATAGAACATGCTTTATATAGAATCCTGATTAGCCAGCAAGTCATATCCGAGGTACTTGCTCTACACTACAGAATTACCCAAAGAAGTTTACCTGATGGTTCCGATTTAATCTTTAAGAAAGGTATTTAAGAAAATACATAAAAGTCAACAACATTTAAGGTCTTACCAATAAAAATTATAGAAGGCTGAAGTTCTCTGGCTACTGCAAATAGAGCACGCACCAGTTTCTCCCCTTCACCCACCTAAAACAACAATAAACTGGTTTTGGAGGGGGTTTAGAAAAATGTTTATTACAAGACAGCTAACATTAGGACCTACAGAAAATCTTGCTGATAGCCACACTCAGTCCATTCATACACACTCAGATTATCACTAGTTCAGTATATGACATTATTGTTTATGTCTTAAACATAGGACAGTATTGTTCATGTCTTAAAAGAAACACTACAACTTCACTTACAATCACAACTGAGCTATCAAGAGATTTTGGTGCCTAAATTATCATAGTGAAAGGGAGCTGGGACCCACTTTATTTACTTTTTAAAGAAGAAAAAAACGACAAACACTCATCTATATGACAGGCAGGGTCATCCTGAATTGCAAAAGCCTTTGACATTGAGTTCTCACAAGCACAAGACAAAATTTTTACTTCACGTCATTTTTTTAAAACTTTACATTCACTATAGGCTAACAGTTCACCAAGGATTTTTCGGAAGTCTCTGGCCTTCTCAAGCCCCAATTACAGCACGCGTGTGTTTTCAGATCTATATAATTTATATCTGCTACTTACATATTTTGAAGTTAGACTTGCTGCACTTATATTAAAGAAAGTAGCATTTGATTCTGCAGCAACTGCTTTGGCCTAGAAGAAGAGGGGGGAAGAAAAAAGTACTTTTTAAAACATCCCATTAGAGATAACTCTCTGCTTCTGTAGCTAGCACTCACGTCCTGATTGACAATTTTGAAAATCCCTATTCCTTCAAAGGAAACACCTTGTAGATGCTACAGAAAACTTCTGTACAGGCCACTTACAAATAAGAACAGACGAGTAGTCTAACCACTAGAGAAATTTCCAGACTTCCTTGGACTTCTCTAATCACATCATCTCCATAGCCAAGTACAACTTGCTTACTGAAGAATACAAGTCTCCAGCCCCCTTCAATGTATCCTGAGTAGACATCTGAATCAGTTTTAACTAATGACAGTAGTAATTTAGAGTAGTAGTTGGATCAAATCACATTAAAAATTTATGTGTTTTTTTTTTTTTTTCCCTCTGCACCCTATCTATACAAAAACTGTTTTCAGAGGAAAGCTAACTAGAAATCAGTTCAGCCAGAACGCTCACACGAAGTACTCTCTTTAACAGTTTCACCATATTCAAGAAATTACAATTCCCGGGTTATACACTTTAATTTTAGTGATTAGCAATTATGTTCCAGTATGTAAAACATAACCGATTAGGCAAAGTGAGGTGCTCAGCGTTCACACCCCTGCGCTTCAGAGCTGATCCAGTTTCACTATCAGCAAAGGGAGCGTGCAGCTGCAGCCATGCCATGTGATGCAGGATGATGTGACCGGCTCAGCTGCACCAGGACATGCGATGCTCCCTCACTCCCTGGCTGATGCACAGCCATTTCTCTCCAGTTCCCTGACCCCAGCACATCAGGCTGAAAAAAAAGCAGCAGCAGCCAGGCAGTTTCACAGCACTTCTGCCCCTTGCATAGCAGCGTGGAAGTCAGAAAACCCCCTTCCTTGCTACTCTGCTTCTTCCCCATTTCCAAAATGTATTTCTAGTATATTTTAGTGAGCAGCAGACCATTTGTGATTGTGATTAATCACTGCTGCACACAAACAATTAACCATGTTACTTTTACTGTCTCTGAAATTGAAACTCAGACTTGCTAGTTTAAGTTTCAAAACATTACTTGTGATGTTGAAGAGAATTGAACAGAAAACAGTTTAGCAATTCCCTCTCACATAAAATCCACAGTGAAGAACAATTTTGTGGTTCTGTATTACATTGGCACCATAACACATATCCAGGAAGAATACACAATTTATTACTACAACACCCAAACTGAAAGCCACCCCTCATGGTTACTTTTTAAGCCTACCAACTCATTTATGAAATAATTTTCTCACCAACATTGTCTTCCCATTTCCCGGTGGGCCAAACAGCAATAATCCACGTGCAGGAGCTCTAAGTCCTGTAAATAACTGAAAAGTACATTATCGTAAGTTACCTTCAAAGACTTACAAAAAATGTTGATTTACCCCCCTAAGAAAATGGTTCAAGATTGAGGAATGGCTCACTGGCTGGCACTGATGGCAACAGTAGCAGTGCTACAACAGCACAGGTTTTAAGAGAACTATGTTCTGTTACTAACTTGACCTAATGCACGTCACTGTTGTTCCCCACACAACAGTTAAATTGCATTATGATCATTCTGTGCATAAAGACACTGTGAAACAAGTACAAAAGGCACTAACATATTCCTCAAGACAGATCAGCCTAACAAGTTTAAAGCATCAATTCCATTTAACAAGGAGGGAAATACACATGTACAGTAGGAGTTAAAGCAATGCTCCTGCTAATTCCATATGGAAGAACCATTTCATATTTCTCTTTTTTTTTTTTTAATTAAACGAAACTCAAGAAGACGTAAGCTTTGACCGAAACTATTTAAAAATATTACTTAACAACCACCTACTCTCTCTAAATGCTACTGATACCGATCTCTTCCGTCTCACTTTGCATTGGATTCATCTTTCCTACACTACAATATTGCACTCATCATACGTAACATCACTACAAGCAAATCTACAAATTCTCACGGAGTACATCTCTTCTAGTTAATCCTGCAGCCTGTTTTCCCCAGCACTTTGTCTTTACCACTTTATTCAAGAGTTTCAGAGTTCTGTTTTTGGCCTCACATGCACCTCTCCATTCCAGCTTCCAATAATTCCAACAAACAAACAAAAGGAATAACAGGGAGTCACTTTATATGTAACACCATGTCCAAACACCACTGCCAGCAGGTGCTCCCTCCCACAATATCCACGATAAGAAACGGCTCCATTACCAACGTAGTGTTTTTAAGATGACTGACCACAATTCAGCCACAACTGCCATTTATCACTGAGACACGGTGAGCTTTTAAAGTTTCTATTGACAGACTAATCATACTAAACATGGTCTGAACTGCTACTGTATTATCAGCATCTTACTGATATAATGGTTGCAGTTATGTTTCTAGGAAGTGTTTTCTATTCATCCACCTCAACTCTTGCTCTCCTACAAAAATACCACTAATTGGTGTGTTTAAATATGAATTTGAGTTCAAAACATCGTGAAGGTTAAAACTGAAGTAGTATTTAATTGACTAAATATTGTCCTATAGTTGCCACATGTCATGGTCATTTACAAGGAAGAAAACCAACCTCATTTCCTCCAAGGAAAGTTTAAAAATTCACAGGATTCTGTCCTTTGTTACATCTCAACCTACACCTAGGTCAGGCCCACTGCTAGCTACAGTAATATGAAAAACACCTTATTGAAAATATAAACTATTATTGGAAAAGAGTCATAACTCTTCCAAGCCTCACATGTCAGTCGCTCCCACCCAGCTCATTGTATTAGTGCCACTGAACAACAAACTTGCCATATTAAAGCACTGTAATAACAGAGACGGTACAATGACATTTTCCTTCTGCATAAGAATAGCAGAGCATATTTGATGCAAAGGTTTTGTTTTCATCAGGCCTAGTATTCCTGTGATGCTATGCCAGGTATAGGGTTTCTTTCCCATAATGCTTCAAAACCAGTAACTGCATTAAAGGAAAGAGGAGGACCACAGAACAACTCCAGTCACCTGTCATCATGACAAAAGAAACCCACAAGCAAGCAAAAAAGAAGAAACAGCAATTTTGTTTCAATAATCAGCACTGCAGTAAATCATTTCTGCAAAAGCCCAGCTTTAGAAAATGACCAATTTAATTTTTTTAAAAAGCAGCTCAGGTAGTATACAGACTAGACCTGAATCTAGGCAGGCACAGTAGTTCAAGCACCACCTCATAAATAAATAATAAATAAAATAAAAGCCTAAATGGCTGATTTCCACTCAGCCAAGTAAAGAGGTACTCTGCCCTCAAATGTTATACACCTCAGTGTACTTGCTTGTTCACTGCTCCACTTCTTTGCATCCTCTCCTGCTGTGAATAGACTATTCAGAATGTCTAACCAGCATCCACAGAGAACACGACCACAATACCAATTTAATATTTTTTCAAATCAGATAGTGTCATGACTTAATTTGCATACAAAAATCTCATGTGTTTCACTCTTCCAATCCTGGGCTTTGTCCTTTACGTGTCCATATAGGGTGGGACACACAGCTATGCTTATCTGGAACAGTCAGCCTCACAAATTTTCAGAAGAGTTTTTTGTTTTCTTTGGTTTGGTTTATTAGGGGTTTGTGCTTTGCTGGGTATCTTTTGGTTTTGTTTTATTGTTTAAGCTATTGCCTCATTCACTTTCTCCAACACTGACTAACCAGAAGATGAGGAATTTCATGACAGTATTTTAACACATACATTCTTCATTCTCGTTTTCCAGGACAGCTGTCAATAGCAATCATAACCAGTAAAGACAGGATTCAAGAATCTCCACTTCACATGTGAAACACAATATATTTCTTTGACTCTGTCACAGAGTAATAACAAAACCCAGTTGCTTACCTCAGGTCTAAGCGAAGGAAGGATAACAATTTCTTGCAAAGCTTGTTTAGCCAGTTCCTGCCCTGCGATATCATCAAATTTGACAGCTGGACCACTAACAAAGAAATGGAATACTAATTAGTCTAACAATGAGATACTCTTTTTCAGCTGCAGCTGACTACTTTAATGCATTTGACTATTTATACAGAACCCTTTTGAGCAAATCTACAACTTATATTGCTAAGCATTTGAGAAGATAAGCGTTTCTGATTTTAATTTTTATCCTTTTGCCAAAGTAACAACAGAAAAATCCACCAAAACAACCCACAAAAAACCTACAACAAACTAGAAGTACTAATTTTCATTCCAAGGGGACAAGACTGTACTGAACAAAAACTGGTCTTCTGCATTGAAAAGCCTACTTTTCTTCAGACTTACCTATCAACAATTTCATTCAGGATAAGATTAGCAAGATTACTGTCCACATTTCTAAATATCTTCAAATCTTTCTTTTTTCGAGGAGCAGTGGTAGGAGTAGAAGGCTTATTTGTTCTGCTATTTTTAGGAGCCGCCTGCAGAGGGGGGAGGAAAAAAAAAAACAAAAAAAAAACCCAACTTGATACTTTTAAAGCATACTGTTAACACAATTACTTCTACCTTCCATTTGCTCCAGTAAAACCTAATACGTTAACAAACACCAGATATTCTGATGCTGTATTTTGCTACAAATCATACTATCATATTCAGCCACAAGTAGAATATCTTAGGCTATAGGGGTGAGGGGTTTTTTGGTTGAGGGTTTTTTTTTTTTTTTTTTTTTTTAAGATAATTCATTATATTTAACTATGGTATTTTCCCCCAGCATGCTCTAGAAATAGAGCACCACAGACTGAGATTTTCAATACCTATAAGCAAGGATTTCTACTGCTGTCATACTTTGACAACAGGCCACTTAAAAGCCTTCATATTATAGCAGCAACAATGCTTAACCACATTTATGTCTTGTCAATTCTGCTCTTATCCAACTTTACTCTGGGAGCAGCTGGGGTGGAGATAAGGATGGAAGGGAAA